TTCTTTTTGTAAAGAAGAAACATGAAATAAAAACATTTATAGCCAATGTAACCAGAACAGAGAGTACCATGTTCTGAATTATCATCATGGTTTCAAAAAGCAGGCAATAATAAAGTTGCATAATTTCATTTCTTGATGCAGAGTCACTTGCTGTCTTCTTGTACAGGGAAGGACTGGATATGTCTTTTTTTTTTGTTATTAATTTTACTCTTGAAGCAGAGTGTCATCCACAGACCAGTCACACAACACAAGATGCTTTAAAAGCTGTAGAATGTTTACAGTTCTGTTTCTGTATACAAATAAGCTAAATTAAGGTCTCATTTTAAGTCTTTAACAATGAAAAACGGTATGATAATTTAAGCGGGCTTCTTCAGGGACTTACTTAATTTTTACTAATCCTTGTCTTTGTTGCAAGCTGGAGACATTCTATAAAGCATACCAATTATTATTTGTAGAAATGAGAATCAGCTAGCAAAGGGCTGGAAAACCCTTTACAAATTTTAAGGGAAGAGTTTCTTGAGCTTTAAGGCATTTGAGTGAGGCTGGCTTTACAGTCTAACTGTAAATAAGTTGAGACAGAGGCTTGGAAGTTTTACAGCCATGGAAGTGCTTGTATAACCAGGTCCACTTATCGTGTTGCTTTCTGTGGTCGTTACATTAGTCTACACAAAGAATTGGTTCAGCTCAGAGGATTCTTCAGAGCTTTTAATGTCACACCACCAAAGGAATCAATTATTCGATGCAGAATCTAGATGGATTGCTGTCACTCCTCGTATCTACTAATTAAATGTGCTTGAAAAATATCTTGTCAAAACCATAATGTAAACTGAAATGTAGATATAAATGTTTCAGATTTCTTTTAATCTTTGAGATTTGTGTGTGTGATTCTGTTTGAGGGGATTTAATAATGTCACTCAAGATAAAGTCTGCATCTTTCTCTTCTGAAATACTTCTCTATGCAGTTGTTCTAATTGTTACTGGATTTGAGTGAGGGGAGCTCACATTGGTCTAGAGGATAACCGAATAACAGACAATCATTGTTTTGGGGATTATCTCATGCTTTAAGGTGGACATTACCAGGGAATTTGATCATTCAATTATAAGCACCTGTTTCATGTTTACATACATATTCCTTTTAGGAAAGGTGCAATCATACTTTCTCTCCTTTTTCCCTCTCTGAAGAAAGAGAATGACCTCCTCTTTCTTTCTGGGTGTGGGTAAGATGTACTCCCTGTGAGTGCTTCCATAAGGGTAAAAGATTAAAATATCATTTAGATATCAATGACATTAGGTCACTGAGAAAGACAAGCTTCTGACAGGGATTTACTTTTCATTAAAAAGGTCTTCATGAGCTATTGTAGAAGAGTCTTGATCCCAGACAATGTATTTTATGTAACATTCTCCTTCGCAGGAACTAGCTGGTGACCTCTCTGACCTCAAAGCCATCCTCAGAGCTGGGGGGCTTTGGTCAGCCTTGTTTTTCTCTGCAAATTTCCAACTGTTTTCTACAGTCAGTATTAGCTCCTGAGATCTTTAGAGCATAGAAGATTACTCTTATTTGTTGCTACAATTGATTAGTCTGTAGGTTGAGACATTTTGCTAGTGCTTTTCTCCTATGCTCTTGCTGGTAGCACTTCAAGTCTTGGTCATTAAGAAAATTAGGCAGTGTATCTCCTACTGCTGTTACCTGGTACTCTTACCCAAAGTCGTAAGGCCAAGGGAGGAGTATTCTCACATTAAACTAGCCATCTTTTGTTTTCACGTACTATGACAATTCAGAAACCAACTCTAATGTGCATGCATTCAGATCAGCATGAATCAAAAGGCAGTATTTTGCCCTAGGATATCCACTTTCCAGTTGCTTTAAGGAAGAAACGAACTTGTGTATACCTGAGGACAGGATATGGCCTGAATGTTGACTTCCCAACAGGACAGTGACAGGCTGAAAAAAAATTAATTTGCCATCTGCTGAGTGAAGAGAGAAGCAGCCTATCAGCTGCTGTACAAGTTGGAGGCTATCCACGTTGACCTCTGCTCATGTCCAGGCAGCTTCTGAGGTCCTTTCTGTTGCCAGCAGTCTGGCATTTTATAGCATTGGCCCACAAAGCAAATGAGATGACTGCAGTTCTTATCACCACTGAAATAAAGTGCAAAAAACCACCACAGAGCCATTGAAGTACTTGGTAAGGTCTAGCACCTGCAAGACTCATTGCATGCAACCTCTTTGCCTGAAAGTTGTTTATTTAGACCACAGTACAGGATATTTGTCTTCAGACCAGTCTGTAAAACGTCTTCACAGACTGTTAGTACCATATCACAAAACAAAATTAAATTTTACTTATGTGGGCCCAAACTATCATTCTGCCTGCTTGACATCTTTTCTCTATGCCTTTTTGCTTGATTCTTAATTTATACAGTTCATCTATCCTTGTTGATCAAATCAGATCATAACATGAACTAGGAAGGTCCAAATGTATTTGCTATTTAGTTTGCAACACCTGTTATAGCCTTTATGAGAAATGTCATACTGTCTTATTAAACCTGTTGTGGTTTACCCCCAGCTGGCAACTAAGCACCAGGCAGCCACTCACTCACTCCCCCTGCGGTGGGATGGGCGAGAGACCCCCTCCCCCGGGGGGGAGGGGGGGAAAAAAAAAAAAAAAAAAAAAAAAAAAAAAAAGAAAGTAAAACTCATGGATTGAGACAGAGACAGTTTAATAAGATGGCAAAGGAAGAGAAAATGATAATAATAATAATAACAATAATAATAATGATAAAAGAATATACAAAATGAGTGATGCACAATGCAATTGCTCACCACTTGTTGACTGAGGCCCAGCCTGTCCCCAAGCAGTGATCACACCCCCAGCCAGCTTCCCCCAAGTTTATATACGGAGCATAACGTCATATGGTATGGAATATCCCTTTGGCCAGTTTGGGTCAGCTGTCCTGACTGCATCTGCTCCCAGCTTCTTGTGCACCCCCACCCTCATCGCTGGCGGGGCAGTACAAGAAGCTGAAAAGTCCTTGACTTGGTAAACATTGCTTAGCAACAACCAAAACATCAGTGTGTTATCAACACCACTCTCATCCCAAATCCAAAACACAGCACTGTACCAGCTACTAGGAAGAAAATTAACTGTATCCCAGCCGTAACCAGGACAACCTTATCATGTACTTTCATCAACCATCTTTTTTGGCTAGAATAGAAACAGGAAGATAAGACTCTGAAAGTATTTAAATCAGTGTTTTACTGACCATGAAAGACACTATCTATCTGCAAAACAATCAGCAATTAGCTCACATATCTGACTCCATGCAAGAAAAGCTAGCTGTACATGATAAATGTGAACTGTATAACTGTTTAAGCTTTGAAATGGATCTGCTGAGATACGTCTGGTGCCCTTGGTCAAAGTACTTCTTCTGGTTTAGGATACAGGACCCTTATGCTATATACTTAGCATCACCCAAAATAAGGAGGTCACCACTGTAGAATTATGCAGATGCATTTGCTGATACAAAGTCTTTTGCTAACTTTCAATTTCATGATAATTATTCTTAAAATGCACAAGAAATTGTATGAGTAGCAATGCTCCCTCGTTTAGTTTGAGGTTGAGACGTACAAGAGCAAAGGTTCCCACTTAGATCAAATCAGAAGGGAGGAAGAAGTTCATCTTTATTACAGGCACTTATGAGACAATTTTCTCCTGTCTTTTACTGTGCCTACTACAGTCTTCTCACCTCCTCCCCAGTGAGGGAGCTGGATACAGCATGGCTGATGTCAGTGCGAGAGAAATAACCTTTATCAATGCTGCTACCCTGTCTCCTCCGGGTGTTCCCATGATTGTCTTGCAGTGAGGAAAGTATCTCAAAGCTTCTTTATTTTTAAGTCAGGTCCCTGAGTATTGGGGTAAGTCTAGTCTTTTCTTTATACTTTCAAAGACAGAAGCTTAGAAGGAAACGTCAAAATTCATAAAGTGCCCTGTGTGGAGAGTACTAGTTCAGGAACTTTCAATGCTTTCTGTGTAGGTGAATCACCATGTCGTGTACTGCCAATGGCAATTCTAAAAAATTAACTTAGGTTTGGAGAAAGTGATGACAGCTCTTCTACATGTTCTGTAACCTCCACATGTCTTGTCTTTCAGTTTGCTCCTACAATATTTCTGGATTCAGGGGTATGCCCCAATGTGCTGCCACCATTTACCTTGTACCTCAGCCTACAAGTCCTGAATGAATGTGGCTTTGATAGAACCACATCGTCATGGACAAGAACTCGGAGAAAAGATGAAGCATACATAGGAAGCCCCACATAATTTCCAATTTTCATTTCCACACACTTCCCTAAAGGAAAAGTTTCCATTGGAAATTCATAATAGAAACTGAACTTTTGGAAGAGTGAAGGTATTTCAGCTAAAATGTGTATTTTTTTAGAACAACTGTGGGTCAAGGTAGCTCAGTGATGCATTCTCATGAGATAGATAGTGCATGACTTCATGAAGCAATTTACTTCTTTAGAAATACTGGCTGAATTATTTTCTGGATATTGATTACTATTCAAACAATCTGTAAAAGAATTGGAATTAAGTGGTGAAAAAAGGACAGAGCTACAGACTTGCTTTTCTCTCAATTTCTAGAATGGCTGTTGTTAGTTATCACATATTTTTAGAAATTATATACAACCATAATAACATAACAATAACATTAACCAAGCAAAAATTATGGGCAGTCTTATGGTATGTTTGCCTGAGATGTCATCACACCTACAGTTTAGTAGTTTCTTTTTTTCAAAGACCAGATAAAGTCTCCACTGGAATGCAGGCCACAGCCTTGTGTCTGTATATCAATGTTTCTCTGCTAGGAAGGTGAGGAAGAATTGAGCATCCGAGTGCCAGAAACCAGAGCATAGCACATGACAAAGAGCAGGAAGCAACAACACAAGTCAATGCGGCAAAGAAGAAAGGAAAGATTATGCTGACCATAAGCAGATGGTCTACACTTGCCTCTTTTATCAGATTCATAAATCTGGGTCCAAAACGCCATGGCTTGTGTCTGTGGCACTGCAGGGAGCTGACAGTCATTTGGGAGGCACGCTGGGAGGCCACTGCTACCATGTAAACAGCATCGTACATCAGAGCTGCTTCAGTCTGCAAGAAAAAACAGAAAGGCTTTCTTTAGTGTACGTCTTTGTGTCTGGTCCCTGCTTTTCTCCACTGAAAACCATTCCTTTGGGCTACTGTTACAGAAAAGGCCACTACTGGACTCTCCACAGAAATCTGAGGTGCAAAAAAAATAAATTTTTTGCAGCTTATATTAATTTCAGAGTATTTTCAGATGAGCATTGGGAAGAAAACTACATTGGGTAGCTACAGGAAGAGAGGGGTCAGTGGGTCCAGCGCAGGAAGGAGCACAGGTAGGTCTGTGGCATGGAGAGGAGTTTTAAGCAGCCCAGGTCTCATCCTCCAGGCATATCTTATGGCCAAGGACTTTGCATTACCCAGTCTTCTGTAGTTTCCTTATGGGAGCTGCCAAAGACTTTCACCACCTCAGGGTGTGTCATTAGAAAGCACCAAGCAGGTGCTCAAGCCAGTCTCTGCCCAGCGTGCAGCTTGGTGTGGCATGGTGACATGGCATGGTGGCGTGTGGGAGGGCTGCCCACGTGGGGCCCATGCTAGCTCCTCATCGCTGCTCTTGTGGGATTACTTTCTTCCTGAAGGGGTAGGCAGGCTCTGCTTGCCAGGGAAATCAATCCCACTGAGCACCTGGTAGGTATCCCACTGGACAGGTATCTACTGTCCCTAAGTGTCTACTGCCCTTGAGGATCTTGGCTTTTGCCACAAATGTGTGAAATGGCCCCACCAAGATTTGGCCAGGGCTGTTCCCCTGCCATACCTCCCATGCCGTCTTAGAGAGAGGTGAACTGTCCTTTCTAGGTGCCTTTTTTTGATGGTTAAGTTGGACTTAAATATTTAACTTCTATCTGTCTAAGGATAGATGAATATAGCCCTTAGACACCTAGATATTACTAAAATTACTGGATGCTGGTTGTGCATCCGAGTTTCTTTTGAGAATGGGTTTGTTGGTTTAAAAACATGCCCAGTAAGCCTCAAACTGAGATCGCACACCCTGTCACCCTTTATCACTGGGAAGTTTTAGACAAATTCACCTTCACCTTTACTGTGCTTCAGTGCTCTCATGTGTGAGGTGGGAACAGCCATGTTTCACTTAATGCACAGGGATGCTGTAAAAATGAAGTGCTTACCTTTCTTGTAAATCTACTGAATAATTAAATAGGTGTCTTAAAAAATAGTACTAACTCTGCAGATGAGAAACTGGACTCATTTATATGAACTGCAAAGTTAATCCATTTTTTATTCTTTTCCCATGCAATTCCTTTGGGAAATTAATAGATTTGATTCTTTGTCTGTTTCCTTTACCTAAGTAAATTACAAAAGTATCAGTCTTACCGGCATTGCAGGTTTTTGCTGGCAATTAAATGTGATCTGAATTTATCAACTAATCTTAATATACTGCAGATGAGGAATTGCTCTTGACACACTAGTCAGGATCTGCCCAAAACAAGGCTCCCACATTCACAGCAAATTGAAAACATTCTAAATGGTGAGGCAAGCAGGAGGAGACAATAACAGCTGTTCTCAGCATTGAGTGACTTAAAACAGATATTTACTGTAAGCAGACCTAGGGACTAAGGGCCTGATCCAAAATCCCTCAAAATCAATGGAAAGATCCCCATCAATGTCAGTGGAGTTCAGATTGTTTTTTGCATTAGACTGGGGACAAGTGCATTCAGGATTGAATTTTACTTGAGCACTGGAGTCCCGGTCTGCCTCTGTCCCAAGCCTAGGGACTCTGGAGACTTGGTGAAAATGCTTTAGTGCGTACCTCACTTTGCACTCCTATCTGGGACCACCGACGCTTTTACTTGATAGCATGGTGCATCCTGCATTGTTTGTATGTTGGCAGCATTGCCAGACTTGGCTGTTTCAGTCTAGTGCTTGCGTAACTTGTTACTCATCCATTCTGCTGTGCAGCAACTGGGAGGCTGTATTACCTCCCTTAGCCTTTCATTTTCCCCTCGCTCCTGTTCTGGTTTAGGGCTTGGGGTTGTGTGGAGGAACAAAAGGTCACCTCATTTTCTGAAGCAAACCACCTTATATTGATGTCTGTACTTGTGCATAAAAAGAAAGGGACTAAAGTTAGTCTTGGAACTTGTCTTACTAATTTTCATAATATTTTTAAATTATTGCAAAGAAGCCCAAAGATCTGATTGGAACACCAATGCCTCTGTATGCAATTCGGGCATAAAGTGAGACATGAACTCAAAACTGTCTTACTCATGCCCTGCTGACTTCCCACAACCTGACATCAGGGCAAACAATATAGCATGAACCAGAAGGGAGAAATCCTGAGATAACAATAGGACATGTAATCCTGATCTCCTTGTACTGTGCAGCTTGTCATAGCCTTATTGTCTAATGAAATACAGCAGTATTGCAGCTCTCCATCACACTGAATAAGCAGCACTTGCTATGAATATTTAAAAGATCACAGCCAACTAGAAAGATGCTTTCCTTGGTGCTCATGCTGGTTCAGAGCATCAAGGACACCAAGAGATTATAGAGATGCAAAGGAGAGGATAAGAGCCTAGTAAGAACTTTGGTTTTCCTAGTTTTACAACTGGGTGAATGCAGGTGAACAGCTGCCCTTGCAGGTCTTGTGTATTCACATCAGAAGTTCCCAGAAGCAGCTTTCTCCCCTGCTTTGCGTATGAGTGAGCACAATGGCATTGCTCAAACAAGCAACATTTTTTTGAAATGCTAGAGATAGCACACATAATACATTTCTCTTCAGGATGTTAGGATGTTTCAAAATTTCCCCTGCAATCATCTGCAATAAAGTCTATTTCATATCAGTTCGAACTCCACTCAGTGCATGGGATATATTATCTTATATTGCAAAAAGATGGCAACCCTTCACCCGGCAAAACTGAATGGAGTCACGCTGCCCATGTAATTGTTCCTATTCTTTCCTTTGCTTCTTGGGGGAGTGGCAGGGAGGAAATCCTAATTTCCTGGCTTGATGATACCTTTCATTTATCTTTAAATTATATCTTAAAAGCCGTAGTTGCTGTGGATGATGGAAATGAAAAGAAAGGGCACTTTTTCAATTTAAAAATGCTATTACCTGTCCACATGTACAATAACTTTCCCTGCAGGTTATAAATCGTATACCTGCTCTGAAAGTTTTTATTTCCTGCTATGTTCTTCACTCCATCCCGAACATTATTAGCGAAACGAGGCAGAAGTATATACATTTGACAACAATAAGATGAATTATGTTAGCTGGATGGCACCATGACAGAGGTTTGCCACCCACCTCTAGAGCTGCCCGGCTCTGTCACACAGATAAGTACAACATTGGTTCATGGGCCAAACGCACTTTTGGGGAGAAGCAGGTAAAAGGAAGGCTGTTTTGGGGATGCTGCTTCAGCATTTGTATCGTGAAATAAAGCAGTAATGGGATCGGGCCACATCAGCTAGAACAGCGCTGCGAAGCCCGCTGTAGACGCCCCTGCATCATTGTGGTTGTTCACTTACCGTCATCATGCCATCGAGGAGGCCAGTCTCTGGCTTCGGCGGCGCCTGTAGACGCTCCATTGACCATTTCTCAATGACCGATGAAACTTGTGGATTCTCGATGTTGAGCAGGCGAAACCCTGTCATATTTACTCCGCTGTATCTGTAGGGTTCCAGGTCTAATGCAAATAGATCCTAAATCATCATTAAAAAAAAAAAAAAGAAAACCAGATGTAGTATTTTTAAAGCAAAATGTTCAGAAGGTACAATTAGACAAAATTGTATTTGATTTTCAATCCAAAGCTCCAGTGCTGGTTTTTTTTCCTCCTCTGTGAACGCTCCGCTTGCCCTCAAAGCCTAGTCTTGACCGCTTCAGTTATAAATCTGAATAAACCAAAGCTGTGTGAAATTTATGACAAACCACATATCTGCTTTGTTGGAACGTAAATATCATTTCTCCACAACAACATTATTTCACATAGCAGTATCTAATTTTAATTTACAGCAGTCCTCTAACAGTGTTACAGCTCTGACAAACCAACATGAGGAATTAGCTGGCCAATGTCAAGCTTATTTCTCAACTCAGGGAAGGAAAATTCCAAGAGATGTCAAGAGCTATACACTTTTACTACTTATGAATCCCATTTTTCTCCTGCCTTGCCTCCTTCAGGTGACTTGCTGCCAGTATGTCTAATGGACATGTCAGGCCAGTGCACAGTCAACCCGCACGCTTCAGTGCTCGGCGTTTACGGGGCAGGAAAATAATGGATATTCTAAGTGATATAATTGTGTGGCACACTCTGCAGCTGTATTTATCAGGCAGTGGAAATATGATAACTGTTTTTCAAAGCCTGAAGGCTGTTTTTCAAAACAACTTTTTGCTGATCCCGGCAGGCCAGTAAAATGACAAATGCATTGGTCATGGTTTAATACCACAGTAACCATCAAAATGTCAACATTTACAATACCACAACGCCGAGCTACCACCAGCACTGCTTACTGCTTGTTCTAATATCTGCTCTATATTATCTCATGCATATTGTTGGTGGTGGTTACCATTTTACGTTAGATTCACTGCCATTGTATAAAACTGTATGTTCCACAGTGAATCCTAAATATTCACCTTTTTTTTTTGATGTTTAAATGGCCTCAAAGAGAACTATTTCAAGGTACTACTTCAAGTTCCAAACAGCTAGAGAGTCTTTTCTGACTAATGAATTGACTATTGGATTCAAAACAATTTTTCAATTCCACATAAAATTTTATAAGTAAAGGAAAGAAAGAATAAGCTGGTGCACATGACCAGATATAAACCAGCCCTCTAGGATTGTTCTAGCAATATTGGTTCTTTGCTGTCTTTCTGGACTACAATGCAAATGGACCTTAAGCATAGATTGAGTTATATTTATACATAGCATGTAAGTTAAAATATATGAAAAAATGTGCTGAAATAAGTATTTATAGGTTTATACCATAAAAGAAAATTTAGGGGTTTTCTTTTACTGTAAAATTCCCCAAGTGATTTTATACATATGTGATTTTGTGTTTTTATGAATAAATTAAACATTTTAGTGATGAACTGCGTCACCCGTGGTGCTTGCACTAGACTCCACTGCAAAGCTATTCATTCATTATTTTGTTTCACTCTGATCCACCTGTATCAATGGCTCCTCCTTAAACACAATACTGCAATTAATTCTCATCGTATTAAAGCATTAGCCGGCCCCACAGATAGATACTGCAAAAACAGCTTTCTTACAGAACTGTGACTCCTGATATTATTAAGGAATGTTAGTACTCATTTTCCAGGGGTTTCCTTGAATAATGGCAACAAAGATCCCCTAGAAAAAGTGTAAATTTTTAGTTGTCTTTTCTGCAACAGAGAAAATTCACCCCCAAATCTTTAGTGCTCCTTACCAGTGTTGTAAAAAAGTAGTGGTAGTATTCAGTCATCATTCCCATGGAGAGAATCTGTTGAAAGAGGTTGAAAGGTGAATGTACTTTACACCGGATGCTTTCAGTGTACTGCACTGTGTTTTGAAAAGCACGCGTTAATCTGGAACAATACCTTACAGGTTATGAAAATCTGATTACAATAAAACCTACATTTTTCTTCAGGAGCAAAAAAATATCATAAGGTATTTAAATTATGTTTTTATCACCTCTGCTCAGGAAAGAGATTAAAGATTGCAAAAATTCTAGGACAAGAAAAATGACTAGCGATAACGAGGAGCTGATTTTTTAAAAGTGAAATTCTTTAGTCTGCAGTTTAGAAGTGTTACAAAGGAATTTACTGGCAGACAATGGAATTTGTAGAGAAAAGTGCTTAGGAGCGTGTTTTGTTTTTTTTTAATTCTGCATTACCATGTGAGAACAAGACACTTGGTGAGTGCTCACTGAAGTAAACCAGAAAAACAAAAAGAAAAAAGCTTCTATAAACGCCTTTTGTTCCACCTGGGGAATGCAGGTCTGCGGGAGGCTGTCAAAACAACTGGTATGAAAGGATTTCTGGTCTGGATTAATTTTCTAGCGTCAGACCTTTTGAAGGTCTGCAAGGTAAGGATGGCATTTAAAGGCATACTGACTGGCCACCTCGGGCAGAAGAGGAAGAGATTTTTTTCCCCGGCCCTCACGTTGCAGGAAACTTTGAAAGGGATGGTTTTTTTCCCCTCAGCCTCTCTCTAAAAATCATTGGGAATTCTTACACAAAACACCCCTGATGGCGTACAGCAGGATTCTCTACAGTTTCAGCCCAGCATCACCTCCGCTCGTTGCAGCGTCCATGCACACTGTTACCATTTTACCCTCTCTGGGATCTTGTGAAGAGGAGGAAGAATGATGAGCTAGGAAACTACCCAAGAATTCATTATCATGACAGTAACACAGACAAAGGTTAAATGTTATTCAGTCTTGATCACAGTAATGTAAGCATCTGCTACTAATAGTATTTTAGGACATGTTTAGCAGTGCCTGAATAGCTGTTTGAAAGACAACAGAAAATAGTATGATTTGGCTTGCAAAAATTCTCTTTCATGGCAAAAGCCTCTGAAAATCAGTTGTGTGATTGTGTATGGCAATTCCTCACATAAAAAAAGGAAAAAACCTAAACTTTCTAAGCTGCAGTAGATAATAAAACCAGCTCAGTGTTAATCACAAACAACCAATCCATTTCCAGGCACTAAAAATCAAGCCAGAAGGCAAGTATTTTATTGAAATGCTCCACTGAATTTACATGTCAAAATTGCCTTTTTTATTTCATATTTTATTAATCCTCTTCTATTCCATTTCTTAGAGTTATTTGATTACCTGTAGAAATGAGCAATCTAGCAATCCTGGAGACTGATGTTCCTTCCCTATTTACGCACAGAAAATGATATATATGATCAATGGAAACTTTTGTGTGCTGTGTTTCCCAGCTGACCTGGCTGGATGCAGTTCTGCTCCCTGGAGCTGTTGGATTTCTGTGTCTCAGGTCCCTGCTATGGGAAGGAAGTGCCAGTCAGGATTTTTATGATACAAGTCTCTTTTGAGTTGAAAGTGTATTGAAATAACCCAATTGCTTCACATGGGGCACATACCATAGGTTATACAAATGTGGTTTGAGCCCAGGTAGTCCTCTGTATGTCTAAATTTATTTGGTCCTCTAGAGGATGTCTGCAGTTAGCCCATGGTGTTACATCAGTATGAAAGCATGTTCATAGTAATAAGTGTAAACAGGAGGATACAAATACCCAGATTTAAATTATTGATTGATTACAGTTCTAATTCTAGTTTGAGATAGAAGAGCTGCCGTCGAGTCATTGCACTTCTGTTAGCAGAAGATATAAACCACAATCTGCCTGCATAGAAATAGTAAGACAATGGAGAATCAGGGCAATGCTAAGCCACATAACGCCTTAAAATACAGCTTTACATTAACTAGACAGATAAATTAACTAGAATTACAATAAAGTGTGTAGCCTAGATGTTTGGGAAGCATTATCTAGCTTGTGCTGCTGCAGCTACACTGCTACTGGGTAACCAGCTGGTTAATCCAAGGTAGCCTGGTTATTGCTTTCCTCACAAATCCAAGGATAGTAGCCTGAGAGGAGTGTTTGCCTCCTGAACACATTTCTGGTTAAAACTTTTTAGGAGAATATTGATTCTCAAGTAATGCGCTATAAACAGAGCTGGAAGGACACACACATACCTGTGAATAACAATGATTTCAAAAGTCATGCTACAGGATTGTCTTTGAAAAAAAACACAACAAACAAAGAGAATCAAAAGCCCTGAAGACCAAAGGCAATTGCATGTAAAAAGTGAGGTTTGGCCAGCAATGTTATCTGCCATAGCCAAGACACAGGTTCACAATGGCAATTGCTGGAAGGGTGCCATGGATTTGCCAAGGACCTTGGACCCAAGGGCTCCATGAGAGATGCTCGCTGAAATTCTTCCCAAGAAAGCATTGCAGCAGCCCAGGAAACCTTAACCAGCATGTCACTTTTGTATTTTCTATATTAACGATGACTCAATTAAGATATGAAGATACAGATAGCTGGAAGGGAGCTTGTAAGTGGCACGCACACATTAATAATGTCCTCGCTTGGTTAAGGAACAAGAGTTGATCTTGGATCTGCCCCAGGCTGAGCCCTGATCTGCCACTGAGCTCTGCCCCCTCATTTAGCATTGGTCACAAGAACTGCCTTAACTGGGTCTCCTCCTCTCTAACAGCCATTAAAGATGATAATTAGCTAACAGTTATATAGCACTTAGACATCACTGTGACACGTGAGTTAGATCTGTAGATTGACCTAAATAGGGTGCTTTTTATTCATGGAACGTAAGGACTTTGTAATAATAACTTACTTATGTTTTAGGGTAACATGGTCGCTAAATAAAATTCCCAATGAGTGACAATTTAATCAAAGTACCAAATGCCCACTCTGGTGGATGGTATTAGGAAATCAGGAGATGAAGCCAAGTTAAAGCAAAAGCAAGAGGAATGCTGAGCATCATGCTGGAGACCCCAAAGCATTAACGACTGCCAAGCCTTAATGACTTGGATGTTCCTATTAGTGTAAATAGGAGAGTTACAAGGACTCATCTTCCCCTGCTGTGTTTGCAACACAGCAGGTACGGGGAAAGCAGCTTCTAGGAACTAGCAGGAGCAAGACAATAATAAAAGCATGTTAGGACCAAAGACTCCTTTCAGGTTGGGACACCTCTGAAGTACCTTGCAAAGCAGCTGCACAGGCTCTTCCCACAGAGCAAGTGTCCTCCGCACTGGAGAAAATGAGCACAGCAGCCCAGAGGAGAGAAGGGAAGGCAGCAAGATTGGTTTATGCATATATAGCTGCCCATAAGAAACTGAATGAGATTTCATTACACATTCCTATTTAAATAACTTTGCATATAATTATTTAAATAATTATGTTTCTGATATAAATGTCCTATTTAAATAATAACAGCTTTTACTTACTGCGGAACTTAGATGAATGTAAACTAGTGAAACCAGGCTAAAATATTCTCCATTCTCCTTGTAGATCTCCTATCCATCCTACCCTGTATAAAATCTGTCCTTCAACCAAACTCAGATATGGTTGCATTATGGATTATCTTGGCAAATAGGATAAAGAGATTTCCATCTCTAATTATCCATTTCAGATCAGAAGTTTGGGCCTTGTCTTTTGCAGATCTGTACTTTTAGCTGTGGGTCATGAACTGTAATGCGAATCTGAAAAAGTATCGGTGGTCAAATTATATATGGCAAGCTGATGGAAACCAGATAAAAGGACTCTGTCTTATATTTGTAATTCTCTCTGGGTGCCCTGTTCCTGGCTTGCATCATATTCCAACCTGCAGTTCTTTATTTTGTAAAAAAAAATCACCGCCTTATTTAGAGCTGGTGTCAGTCTTCCTTCAAGGCAGGCTGAAACCAGAATGATGGTGAAGCATATTAGTGGGAACTGCATCAAATACTTTGCTTGCTTTCACTTTGCATTTTCCTCACTCATGCTATTATTTAATTTCATCACTATTAAATGAATGCATTTCATTATCCAATTAATTAGTACCACCACTGTTTTCTAAGCCCAGCAAGATACACCATAACAAATAAAAGCCCCTCTGCCTCCTTGCCACTGAAGTGTTCAATATAAAAAGTTTATATTGTGTTTACAGTGCTTCCTGAGACTCTATGTAGACAGCTTTACTTGGACATGACTTAAGTCACTGGAAATATGCATCCTGCTCAGTCACAGCAGCGGTCCAGCTGGAGTGGTATAGAGTTCCTCCAACATGGACATGAGCCATGTCAAGAAACAAGATATATTCTGTAAATACTTTGCTAGTATTGGAGTCCAGCTGGAAGCAAGGGCCATAGCAATAGGGCAGGACAAATGTGTTGGCCCAGCGTCCCAGTCAGCTGTAGCTGGCTCCTTCTGCTTCCTGAAGAGATCCCAGGGAGCTAGGGCAGCAGCATTACCTTTCAAATTCCAGCATGGACATCATCTCACAGTACCAAGACTGAAAGCACTCTTTCAGTTTGAAAGTCTACTTGCATTTGCACCACCCAGTGAATCTTCCAAAGAAGCAAAGAACAGCTCCTTGTGCAAGATGTAGCATGGATGGCACTGCACTGAATTTATGTAACTAGTTTAGCTTTCATCTAGATGGCACAACTAACAAGAACAGAGAGGCAGAGGTCTCGGCATAGTGCGGCTATGACATTGCACAGCAAGGATCCCAAAAGACTGTACTCTGATTTAGAGCCCGTGCTGCTGTATCTTCAAATCTCAAAATAAAGCTTCCAAGGCAATGGCCACATTTACTTCTATAGAGACCCATGTTTATATTTGGGAACTGGAGCCCATTTCAGGCTGAATTACCCCGCCATACCATTTCTGTGCCCATGGTCTTTACTGATGTCTTAACCCATGCACGCCTTAGGGACCAACGCTCTTGCCATCTGATGCCATTCAGCAGTAACCAGGTGGCCGGAAAAGGATGTCCCCCCATCGACAACCCCTTTATAAAATCAGTAAGAGAGAAGAGAACCAGTGAGATGCTTCTCACCCTGGGGCTTGGGGGGCATCTGGGGGTATCTGCTGATGGTATTTCTCCAGCAGCAGTGAGAACAGAGCTAATCCTGCCTTTTCTTAGCAGACAGTGGGCTTCAGCCTAGCTGTCAAGTTACTAGAAGGAACTCAAGTTTTATATTCTCACATTTATTATTGTACCTAGAATGTGTACTATGGTGACACTTAGTTTTCATACTTCTGTAGGAACTGAATTAATTATTTTGCTCTCTGTCTGTCACATAGTGAAAGTGAACATAGAAGTCTTTATAAAAAGCTCGGTGAGTGTCCTAAACCTGATTAAATATACAGTACATTTCATAAAATTTATTTTAGAGGTGTGGAGGAAGGAGCAGATAATTTAAGGCTAGTAGCAACATAATTATCAGAGATGAGTTTGCCTAGCAGTAAAATCTATGTCAACTGTTGGTGTGTTAGAAGAATAAATTGAAGGTTAACTATAAGAACCTAACCTCTTGAACTAAGTTCCTTAGACAAAAAGGCAATATCAGACTAAATACAGTATGTCCAGGATATATTGGAAGATTCGTGCATAAAACAGATTGCAATTTGCAACAGCCAGATTTAACTGACTTGTGGGATTGCTTACCAAGTCTAGACAGCACACCAAATCTCTGCCCACAAAACATTTCAGGTAAATGTTGTAACCACCAGATTTTTCCTTAAGAAACTGTTTCCAACCTCCTTGTGTAAGGAACTCAATCCTGCTGGTCTTAGGCAAGTTTGGAGGGTGCCTTACTGTCTCACGCTTTTTCAGGGATATCTATTTTTAGACTTGGAAAGGAGAGAGATGCTAGGCACCCGCAGAGCAGAGCAGGACAGACAATGCTGGAGTGAAACAGGGAGGTTCCTACAGAGCTTAAGCAGATCCTGAGTGGGACTTCAGAGATCACAATTTTACCCTAGAGAAGCCACAGCTGTACTTAGCTCCTGCTTTTGGCATCTAATTATCTACTAGATCTCACTCCTTGTCAGACGATTTGTTCAGTCTTCATGAGCATTAAAGCTCCAGCAGCCAAGATTTTCAAGTAGACTTTGGGAGTGACAGACCAGCTGCAACTTTTTCCATTAGCTCTGCTGATATGGTACGTCTTATTTGAAAACCCTGCTGGGATAACCTCCCGGTTCAAGTCATTCTGGAATATCCTGATCCCTGTGGAGCGGGTCACTTTGGGCAGTGGAGCTGCCGGTTTTGGTGGTTACCTGGTACATGAAACAGAGCTGGAAAATTCCCTTAGCTGCCGTGCGCCGGTCGCATGAGGTTACCAACCCTCGTGAGGGAACGTGGGGAGAAAATTTAAAGTGACTACTGGAAAAGGCAGCAATTAATAATTATAATTTCCTCTTGTTCCTTCCAGATCTGGGTGAGGAAAGGGCCAGGGCTCATTAAACTGGTCAGGAACTGTGAAAGCCTGGGCTCTCTGCAGCATGTCAGAGAGAAGGGGAAATGTGTGAGTTTAGGGAATAGGTTATTCAGCTGTGTGCAGGCTTTGTATTTTGTTTAAATTAGGTTATTGATTCGCCTGTTCTTGTTGCGCACAAGGAAGTGTGGCTCAATGGTATTTTAGTTGAAGCTATAAATAAGCAAAAGATAGTCTTGTTTAAGAGAAGAAATCTGTCTTTTGTGCTGTTTTGTAAACAAAAGATTGAAAGAGGCAAGTGAAGAGGTTACCTCCCCTGGCCTCACAGTCTGGTAATGCGGCTGGGTCAGGTAGCTCCACGCTCCCAAACACAGCTCCATGTGCGACACTTTCAGGACGTCATTCTGGATGTGCTAATCCTTTCGCTCCCAGAAAGAGCTTTCGGGCATCCCTTGCCCCCCCTCCCTGGGAAGCAAGCTGTGCCACAGCCAGTGCACCCTGAGCACTGGCCGGAGCGGCCCCTGCTTGCAGCGAGAGCCATTGCTGCTGCTGCTGACCCCGGTGGCACTGGCACTGCTGGAAGAAGGGCAGCAGATTTCCTGCCCTGCCTGTGCCTTCAGCTCAGGGGCAGGTTGGCAGCAGAAATGCTGCTGGTGGTATGCATCCCTGCCCCCTCAGCAGGGAAACGTGGCCAAAGCAGGTGAGAGGTGGCCTTTTGCCGCTTTCCCAGCATGGGTGAGCCTTGAAGGAGGTGAGGGATGCTGCCCGCCAGTGCTGGGGGTTTGTCCCAAGGAGATGGAGTGGATCCTGGTGCAGAGGGGGCACCCTTGGGCTTGGAGAGGGGGAAATGCAGACCCTTGTGCAAAACTTTTAGGGGGAAACCCATGCAGGCTTGGAGGGTCAAAAGAACACAAGAACCGAGCATAAGCAATGGTGGGTATGTCCCTGTGTGGCCCTGCTGCATTTTTAATCTGTAAAATACCCTCCAGAACCCAACCTGCTACAAATCTCCACTTCCTTTATTTATCTTCTCCTGCATGGGCTACTAAACATCTACTACATTGTTGTAAATACAGTAGGCAGACAAGAAATTGTTGCTTTGGGGACAGGTTTAGGTGACTGTTGGCTCTGATTCCTACTCCCATTAGGAATCTTACATAAGTTAACAATTATATGTATTTTTCCCATAAAATCTATTGGATCATTTACAAAGTAAAAAATACTCTCTACTAATATTTCAGAGTTATCTTAAAGTAATTTCTAGAGTATTCTCTTTAATATCTTTTTCCATTCAGTGTAAAATTATATACGGGTTTGTGTGTGCAGTGATGAGAATGTGAACCGTGATACTTCACACAGCTAACCTACAACCAGATGAGTCCCACTTGAATTCAGAGCCCTCCACACCTTCACATTTCACAGCTGCCTTTGACAGTGAGGAACTTCAACACCTGAGTTACTGCTGCCAGCATCTAGATTCAGCCACCGAACTATCTCATATAAAAGCCATTTTCCCTTTTTTTCTAGCCTATATTTATGTTGCTTCCTTTCCCGCAGCTCTGACCCACAGGTGTACCTCTCCTAATTTTCCTCTTTTCTCCCACACTGCCATTCACCATCCTTCTCTGAGTTTTTAAGGCATTGCAGAGCATTATCTGTATCTGCAGCCTGTCAGTTGTCTACCTGATCCATTTCCCACACAAACTGTTCTGCCACTTTGCCCTGTCTTAGTGCATCTTTTAGCACTTCCTCTTCTTCTTTTGACACTAAGTTTTTTTTGGATTTTTTTTCTTTCTCAGCCTGGTACATTTGAAGCTTTGTGCCTCCTGCAGTGTGCCAGATACACGTACTTTCTTCTTGCAGATCCTTGAAAATTTGTATTGTCAGTTTAACTCTTCTCCCACAAATCTCATTTTGGAGAAGCTTGTTCCTACTGGCATGTTTTGATGCTTTTGGACAGCCCTACAGGGAGCAGAGTGAGGGGACAGCAGCTCTCCTGTCCACTCCCCTTCCCAGTTTCTGTTTGCTACAGTGCTCTCTCCGTCACATGAGAGAGCAGCTGTATGATTATGCACCCTCCCCTTGCTATTCCCTCGCATTCCCAACATCATGCCTGCATCTGGCCCTGCCGTAGCTTAAATATATAACTTGCACTGAGAAAATCCTAAAATTTAGTACAGGCCAACTTTCCTGACGGCAGTAAATCTAACTCTACTAGTTTATGGGACCATGTATGCTGCTTTCAGCTGTAGTGCATCTGATTTAGGAGACCATCCTGGAAGTCTTTATTCACTGGACCAAGATTCTCCAGTCTGGAGAGGATGGTTTCAGGCTCCACAGACTAATGCAACCAGTAAGTTGTCTTACTTACTTTGATATGAATGCTAGTCTGCATAACTTAAATATTTCAGCAAAACATTCTGGAATGGAGGCGCAGATTTTAACCTTTATGGGACAGCCCATATCTGCGCATTTAGATCAGTGGAACCTCTTTGGTGGTCTTCTGGGATCAGTGTTTCCCGTCAGACAGACTGACAGTAGAAACAACAACCAGAAAAGGAAAATGACATTCACAATGCTTGCTTGGAATTATTGTCTATAGGTCAATGAATTGCAGGAGCCAGTGCTTTAGACTTTGATTGTCTAGAAATACATAGCAAGTGACAACAGTAAATTCTAATTTACACCACTCTTTGTGTGCCCCTAGTAACGTCCCAGTCCATTAACATCAGGCTTTGTCCTTGCCTTGTGTGGTTGTCCAACTCTCACGCTCAGGTCAGGGCTATGTCAACCCCTGAACAATAGCCTCTCTTCCTGTTTTAAAGGATACGTTTTTCTTCTGATACTGTCTCCGTTCCACCTTCTTGCTGTACCAGAGTTTAAAATGTAATGAGGTAGTGCCAGCAGACCAAATCTTGCTTTGTTACAGGGATGTGAATGCAAAGTTACGCTCTTGTCTGCAGTGGATTAATACCCTGTTGTTGCTGCAGTCAGCACTGAGCCTGATGTGCAGCCTCCATGGAGGCAATAGCTCAACGTGAGCCGCTCCCTAAGTACTCCAAAATAGGCTCTTTCAGTTCTTGTGGGGAAGACATAAAAACTCTATTGATTAAACCAGGACAAGCTAAAATAAATGCAACAATCTCCCTAGTGAAGCAGAACCTGCAGTATTAAAAAGAAATGCATATTTCCTTCTGCAGGATATCTGTGGGCTTCTCTTCAGCCATCAATACTGTTGCTGGCCCTTATGGCTCTGTGAAGCCCTGAAGTCTTGTGAAGCGCTCAGATGCTGCTGCACATTCTGTAACAACTTCTGTCCCTGGTATTAACAAGCCTATAGCCTGACTGGTAAATGCATTGTTTTAGTGTTTCCCAGCAAATGAAAACCAGAGAGGCTGACAACTTTCAGGACACAAAATGAAGGTTGTGCTTTTTCAGCCCCTTCCCCTTACCTGCTTAAGGATTTCTGCTGCCGTTTCATGTGAGCAGTCAAATATCACGTAGAACTCCTTGCCCTTCTTCATCTCCTTGAGTAAAGGCCTGGCGTCTTTATTCCCAGACGGCAGTTGGCGGATTTTGATTTTAATGTTGTATCTAGAAGGGGCTTTGATGAGCTCTTGCAGGCGAATTAGACCTGAAAAATTATATGCAATTATACAACTAACCATTCTGTACAATGAGTATTTATTGTAACTTAAACAGGGTCTCTTATCAGTCCCAACATATTTCACATACCCAAAGGGTAGCTGTTAGCTTCATATTTGCCAGCCTCCTAACTAATATTGTTATAATAACTTTTCCTCTTCATGGTTATACTTGCCTTCAACATCTAAATATTATGAAACGTATTTTTAATTAGTTTACTACAGGATATGTTTGTATTGATGCTATATTGATACAGTTTATTGTAAAAAGAATATAGTGCTTCTTCCTTGACACCTAATTATTATTGCAATATTAAACAACAAGAACACAGAATTGAAGAAGCCTCCTGCCTAATGTCAAGCATGAGCAGACGACGGGAGATAGAGGGAGAAAAGTGTTCAATGGCCAGCACCTCCATTGCGGCTCACATAGAAGCCAGTGGTTTGCGTGAGTGGCACTTACCAATAACTACTCCTAATAGCCATCCATATGGCTTTCATTGTCCTCATGTCAGCATACATTGCAATGCCCCAGAGAAGGAGCCTTAAATTTTTCTTATCATCAGTTTAGAGACAAAAAGCCTGAAGGCATCGTGACTTGCATAAAGTCACTCAGCAAGTCTGAGAATTTATAAAGAACTGGAATATTTTGAGATCCAGCTCTACATCTGTAAACACAAGAACATGATTTCTAAGACTGCGTCTTTGGCTGGTACAGATTTATACGGCTTATTTGAAGTCAGTGGAGCTCAACCAGTTGAAGATTTGTCCAAGTATTTAAACACAGTGCAATTCTACTAGCTAATTCAGCACTCCTATGTAATTTGTACCGCCTCCAAAACCTAAGTAAGATAGTTAAGAGTTCTTTGAGGTGTGTGATTACAGTGTCTTTCTCATTATCCATGAATGTAATTTACCCACAAAAAACTTGTGATCTCCTGCTGAGTGAAAGTAAAAGGCTGCCTTAAAAATATGCATAACGAGAGAGAGAATACAGGCAAGAAGCACTTCTTGAACAAAAATCAAACAAATTATTAATATGAAAAAACTCATCGCTCTCCTGCTGAGAGTGGGTATCTATTTGTCTTGTGCGTGAATGTCCTTGGCTGAATGGTCCAATGGTACATATAAGGCAAGATGAAGCATCCCTACTTCTTCTGAGGTTAGCGAGTGATTGCTATGTTGAGGACTGTTGGCTTTCATTCAAGAACTGGCAATGTGTTTTGAAAAAAACTAATCTTTCCCTCCGCCTGCAATGCTGGGTCTGTTCTTTGCAGGTTTTCAAGTATCAACAATCAATATAGAATATTAAGCATTATAAGTATTCAAATGTAAACTACTGCACACACTGTGAGATTGGAGCCTGGCTGGAAGCCAGCCTGTGTAAATATGAAACAATTTGAGCTCATTATTATGAGAATGGGGCACATGCTTCCAACACCGTCTAACAAGTAGGGGAGTTTATGTAATCTGTAGCTGTAGCTTGGTTGTACCATACACTCAAGTGTTCAGACCTTGACTGCAGTGTCTCAGCCACTATAACAAATGGCGACTCTAAGAGGTAAAACCGAGATTTGGGAGGGAGAGTCCAGCACGTAGGGAATCTTGCGTCTTATCCATAGCCTCAGACTGAGTACTGTTGTTTCTCTTTCCAGCAAGAAAATTACTTAAGTGCAAGCATGGTGAAGAGCAGAAGAAAAAGATTTGCCCACCCACCTTCCACCTTGGGGGAAGGAAAATGCTGTGTGCCTTAAAATACCTACTTGAGACTTGGACCTTGCACTTCCCATCACTTCCCACTACCGCATGACGTGAAGGTAAAGCCTACCTATAGTGTACTGAATAAATCAAAGAAGCAGTGAAAAGAACTCCAGTTATTTTTCTGGAGGACCAGGCAAAAGCGTGAATCAACTGACTGCCAGTATAATTAATAGCACAGGGGAATAACCATCAGTGTTCTCCATCTTCTTCCTCCTGCTCAACAAATCCAACCAAATCTTAAATGTGAAGTGCCTAATTTGACTCCTGGGGATGATGAGGAAGGCCTGGGCAAGTGCAGTGCTTAGGATAGTCACTTTTCTCTCACTTGGTGAGACCATCTGGAGCTCAGCCTGAAACAGGCAGGAGGGATCACGGACCGCCCATGAGGTTGGGAAGGAAGTAGCGGCCAAGCTGGGAAGGGCTCAGAAGTGACATATCCTGGGCATCAGCCCCCTCTCTGCGAAGTGATGTCACCTGAACAGCGACACAGGACTGCGCTGGAGCAGAAACTTGGGTAGGAAAAATGTTGTAGAGTCTGGCCAGGTGGAAGCTGTGGTGGCTGAGCATGAACTGTGAAAGGCCTGGAGAAAGCATTAGCCAGTACTATTGAGAGGAAAGGTTCAATTTAGGGCTTCGAAAAAAAATCTGTAAAGATGGAAACCTACTTGTTTCACTAAGTTTCTTGGCCTACTGTGTGTATTCTGTTGCTTTTACCCAGGCATCTAAATGCTTTCCCCTTTTCCTTTGGAAACAGGGTTGGGAATTTTCTGTATTGTTGAGAAAGTATCTTGTGGTCTCTAACCTTGATTGATGCAGTAAGCTTTGGGGTTGGATTCCAACTTCAACTAGTGGTTTGATCAAGAGAAATTATTTGGTCTGACACTTGAGTAAAATGTTAAAATATGTGAAAGTCTTCAAATACTTCATATCATTTCATGATCTCTAGAGCTACTGCAAGTTCTATGTGATGTATTTAGGAGTTCAAACATGCCTAACGTAAACACAATATTCCAACAGGCAAATAATCATATACATTGGCAGTAAGCGTGGTAGTGTGTGTCAGTAGAAAATGTTCAACCCCCATTTCCTCTTCTTTAAAAAAAAATAAAAATTAAAAAATGTATATGTAAATCAGCCAGACTTAAAATTGAAGAAATGCTTTTACTGCTTTGGGAGAAAGTACTCCTTTTTATTAGAAAACTGTGTTAAGGTTAGCAAAGTTAGATGTCTCTTGTAACCACAAGTTCAAAGAAAACAAATTTAGTAAGAACTCAAATTCTGCCCTGTGCAAACGAGTTAAACTAATATGACAAAAAGGGTTGTTTCCCCTGAGCCTTAAACAAATGCTGGGAGAGCAGGCTAACAAGTGGGGAAAGTCAAGGATTCTTACAGAAGATGAGGAATGTGATGTACTTGCCCTTCTCAGCACCTGGTAGGTTAAAATTATTGAATTCAGGGAAGATAGATCAAAAGCAGAGCCAAACCTGCACTGAAGGCAGTGTTATTCCTTTTGTTTGAGTTGTTGATAACTGAGACAAAGTCATGTGTCTGTTACAGATCAATGTGCCACATAACAAAGTGCAAAAGTGGGACATTGAAAGGGATCTATTACAAATCACTAAATTAAACCAGAGAACAGTATGTCTACCCAGTTCTAGCATGTGGAAAGATAAACCATAATTTATGGCACCTAAGTTTGGGAAATGCATGCTCGATGTATCATGCAGTCTATTGCAAGGCTTCGTTAGATCATCTTTAATCTTCAGGAGACAATTTTCTGCCTTACACAAAGGCATTGCACTTGATATAAATTAACTCATTTTTAACACCTTGCTGAAAAACTAAGATGAATTAATAATCAGAACAAAGGCTGATTATGGACTGAGGACTCTGAACATAACATAGATTATGCTTAATATGGAAAAAAGGAGCACAATCTCAGCCTGAAAAATAAATACATTTGCTTAGGAGTCTTATTTTTCCCTAGCTTTGGAAAGCTACAGGCATTAATGAGCAGGATGAGAATTCCAGAAAGAGGACACTATAAGATGTCTAAATAAATATTTACTTTGTAGCCAGAAGCCATTAATTTATTATCAAGAAAGATTACTTTGGCTGAAAGTCCATCTTTCAATGGCACAGTAAGGACAGCAATCAGTAGAAAAAATCAGCTGTAGTGTGCTTTATTATTCTTATTTATATTGAAGTCTAAGAGACAAGAGGGTACTTCCTGTTCCAAAGGTAATTTTTAGCACTATTGGTTGCAGGTTTTCTAGACCTGCTTATATAAAATTTGCTTATCATTGACAGTCCTATAGAGTCCACCCAGTAGATTACTAACACTCAACTACTAATCTGATAAATATTGGAATAATTGGAAATTCTTGAATGAATTCTAGAAGATTGGAAAAAAGTGCTAATGTTTTGTCAATATCAGAAATGGTATTTGAGATAACACAGAACAGCTTACCCCAATGTAAGCATGGGACAAGCTAAGAGAAAAGCTGATATGGTAGTAAAATGCTGAGGAATGGAAACTTGGGACTATAATTAAGACAGATGTTAATCTGTCAAGGGAAGATAGCTCTGTCTCACATCAAGTGCCCTTGTTTGGTGTTAGAAGTTCTGTTGACACAAGTAGCTTCCTAGATGTAAAGCACTTGCCCTCAGGAGGTGTCCATCTTCACGTATCATACAACCTGCTCATGAAAAATGTGGGACTATAAAATAATAATTTGCCAGATCTCAAAAAGCAGATGTAAATGAGAAAGCCTTATTAAGCAGCGGAGGTCTGTGAAGGCTGGTGCTAAGCTGTTCAGATATTTGTAGTGCTCTTGTCTCTGTACGCATTCCAAAATCATTGACTGGAAAAAAGTTATGGCTGAAAAACATTTGGATGACAAAAACTGGCAGCATGGTAAATAGTGTTTGAGGTAAGGAGGGTAGGCACAAGTGATTTGGATCATTTGGAAACATGAGCTCACTCAGATGAATTGTGTTTTTTAACATTGCTCAGTCCAGACTGGTAACTGCATTTCTGTCAACAGCTGTGTCCACGCAGCAGTGAAAACCGTAACTGCAGGAGGTGCGCAACTTCAGCTTGGCAAACTCACACGGTACGTGGCCTCTGTGCTGGAGCTGGCCATGATGGCACGTGGGCTTGGAGCAGTGCTGTACTGTGAAGGATGAAAGCAGGATTTTCCACACTTAAACTTCAAAATAAACTCTTAACCTGGAGCAGGGCTAATCTGGGTATGGGTCATTGGAAGTTCACTATTACAGCTATGAGTTTGTTGTTTTGGAATAAAGCTGCTCTTCATGTACAATTAGTGTCTAGGAAAAAAATAGGTTAATTTTTTTTTTTCTTGTGGTGTAACAATGTCAAACATGAGAGATGAGAAATAAAAAGAGCTTGAGCTAAATGGCGTCACTCTAACCCAAAATCCAAAGACTATTTATATTGATCAAAGTTGACCTGTTTACTTTTCTGACTCCAAGTTAATAAGATGATTGATGATTAATTTACTTTGTAAATATCTCTGCAAATGAAGTCTCTTTAATATCGGTCATTTTTGTAACTGAACACGTACACAGCACTTAGTGTTTTGGAATGCTAATTTGATAATAGGGTAGGCTGAAAAAGACCTCTACTTGTTTATCCATGAGCATATTTTGGCATGCAGTGCTAGGAGTCCAGCAGAAATCCTGCTAAGCTAGACCATCATAATGGAAATGCGAGCCGACTGCTGCAGTAAGCCCAGCCTGACTTGCTCTTTCTCTTCTGCCTCCAGCCCTGTGGTGTACTCTTTGACTCCAAGGTGAGCAGAACATTGGCACTGAGACCTGCCTCTGGGGTCCAAGAGGAAACATGCTTCTTTTGTGCAGAAATAAATACAACATTTTTAGCATTAAATTGAGTTGGGGGGCGTGTGTGCACGTAGCAGAATTCTGTCTTTCAGACATGTTTTTACAATGTGATTTTAAAAGGCATGATTTTATCTTTTTTTTTTTTTTTTTTGCATACTTCCTTTAGAGACGTAGGGAGATGCCTGAGCTCATGGCTCATCCAGGTTTTATGCCATTATCAAAGAATCAATTTAAATGTTACTTGCACATCTGTAGAGGTCTTGAAGGTGCTGTATTTCTGTGGGCAATGGGAAGAGAAAGGGGAATGCGAGTCTCAGAGTGGGGTCAACAGTGAAGTGCTTAATTTGCACCAATGATTACTAATGCACAACAAGATTTTTTCAGAAATGCATATGGTTCAGCTACACCTTTACCATAAAAAGATAGAGTTGAAGGATAGTGGTCAGAGTTTACAGTGGAATAACTGTCAGCGTAAGATTTATTCAGTTGGCTCTATTTTCTTCATCTCTACAGATATGATGTCTGCAAGAAAATCTTTTCTGCTTCTTACAACGTGCCCTTACCTGCAACTTTGTGCCCTGCAAGAAACAATCAGTTGGGAGGCTTTCCTGTGTTTTGACAGGAGAGCTATAGACTTCTCTGAGCTTTTAATGGTTTGTTTACATGCAAACCTTTTCTTGTGAAGCCAGATCATGGACCATGACTGAGTCTACACTGCAGGAGAGATTACATTCTGTGCAGTCATGCTTGGAATAAATTTTGGTGTGTAATCCTGCCAGATAGGACTCCTTCTGAGAGCAGTTTATGTATGCAGTTCTCTCAATGACCAGAGCAGCTAACACATTTCTCAGAAACAGTATCTTCCCACTCCAGTGAGGGAAATGGCACTGCCTGAAATATTTTGGCTGTTGGTACAATATATGCTACAGGGGTAGAAAGCTGGAGAGGGACTTTTTACAAGGGCATGTAGCGATAGGACAAGGATAATGGCTTTCAGCTGAACAAAGGTAGATTTAGATTAGATATTAGAAATAAATTCTTCACTGTGAGGGTGGTGAGGCACTGGAACAGGTTGCCCAGAGAAGCTGTGGCTGCCCCCTCCCTGGAAGTGTTCAAGGCCAGGCTGGATGGGGCTTTGGGCAACCTGGTTTAGTGGAGGGTGTCCCTGCCCATGGCAGGGGGGTTGAAACTAGATGGTCTTTAAGGTGCCTTCCAACCCAAACCATTCTGTGATTCTATGATCCTGTATGTAAAGCCTAGATATGTAAAGATACACAATAGTAGCTTGGACATCCTTATAACATTGACACTCTTCCACAGTCTCTCTGTAGTAAAAAAAAAAGTCTTAGTCTCTGATAACCCTTTAAATCACTTGGTCCAAGGAATGAGTGCATTATTATCTTTTGTAGCTGTTGTTCTGTGAATAAAAAGGGACATGTCACAGATATTGATTGTCCATAGTATGTCCCTGGACAGCTAAGACTGCTGTGTGCCTCAGGGGGAGGTTCTTGTCACAAAGAATAAATGATCTTCTCTAAGTTAAGAGTCCCAAGCTGGAAACATTTATACAAATTGCAACTTTCAGATACCCAGCTGACAAGTGAGTTGACTGCTTCTGAGACAGTTTCAAGGGACAAGGTAGTCTCTACTTTAAAAATGCTGCAGCTTGAACTTTTGGGTTCTAGATGCGTCCCTTTTAAGATCAATGCCTCATTGAGGGGGGGAATCCCTAATCAGTCCCACACTGGAATATTTATCAGTTTGAAACTGTGTTATTGGTTCCACAAATAGGAAGCAAAACATGATTGAGTATTCAGAATCCGGGAGCTACCTCCTGGTGACTTCTTAAGGTCTGATGAAGTGAATATCTTTCCAAAAGCTACTGCAGCAGCAGGATAGCTGCACCTTCCAAGATGTTTTTCTTCTATATCCTGGGGATAACTGCTGTAAGTATGCCAAACTGAACTATCACAGGCACTTTCTCTCACAGAATTTATTCATTTATGTGCATTAATAGAAATACATGACCTGCAGTGCACCAGTACTACTTACCTGTGCTGTCTTCATATACTACTGTTACTATTTTCCAATTGTAGTATAGTACAAGATCCAAAACTGCTCTGCTGATGGCTGCATAGTCTGGATAGAGGTTGATATAAAACGCATCTTTGTTATCCACTGTAGGGTGCTTCCATCGGGTCTGAATATGTGGGACTTCAAGTGCATTGCAAATGGACTGCACTGCGCTGACCGAGGAGCTGTGGGAAGGTCCGAACAGAGCAGCTACACCAAGAGCAAGCTGGTCGCACGCTGAGGGGGACAGGAAGGGAGACGAAGAAGCTGTTAGTTGGCAAAAGCAAGTGACTTGTGTGATGTTTACTGAGATCGTTTATTCTCCATCCATCCCCATCATTTCAAAGTGAGAACGTGTAACCACGTTGCGCCTATTTGCAAATGGTTCATGAAAATGGCTTTGCTGATTAGCATTATATCCTAGAACCTGCTTGCTACAAATAAAAACCAAAACAACTTCTCTGCTTGTTACCTTCAGATCACATTGATTCCTAAATTGCCTTTTTCAGAATGGCATTATCCTGGAGAAACCAGAAGCTTTCTGGCTACAGGCTTGCCAAAGGGACGTCACATGAATTAAGTTTCATGGCAGCGTGTCAGGAAATATGTTCATGGAGTCACAACAAACACTATATGGATTCCATCCGTGACTGGCAAGCTTCTACAATGTGAATTACTTTCATTTCAGGCTACTGAAGGAAAATAAACAGTAAAGGGCACTATAATTCATGGCGCTCCATAATCTGTGTTTACAAAACAGGCAGTAAAGCCTAAAGCCTTCAGTAATGACACAGAGAAATAAAGAACCAACACACACTGACATTTTAATACCTTTCCAAAACAGTCAAATGCTAGTATCAACAAAGGTTTCTTTCTCCTTGTGCCTATATCTCAGCCAAAAGATTCCCTCTTGTAGGTGTCTCTTAATTTTTCTTTCTCTCCCATGTCTTTTCAGGCTAACAGACAGAAGATGAAGTAATATTAATTATTTTTTCCATTAGTAAAATTTAACGCAAATGTTTCTAATAAGGTTTATCAACTAGGACTGTACTGAGTTGCAATGCTGTACTCTTCGTAAGGTAGTTCTTTGCAGGAAATTTAGAAATTACTGTGCTTGAGTGAAAGCACAACTATAGGCTGGACAGACAATGCATTGAGAGCAGCCCTGAGGAAAAGGACTTGGGGGTGTTGATTGAGAAGCTCAACATGAGCCGGCAGTGTGCGCTTGCAGCCCAGAAAGCCAACCGTGTCCTGGGCTGCATCAAAAGAGGTGTGACCAGCAGGTCGAGGGAGGTGATCCTGCCCCTCTACTCCGCTCTTGTGAGACCCCACCTGGAGTACTGCGTCCAGCTCTGGGGGCCCAACATAAGAAAGACATGGAGCTGTTAGAGCAAGTCCAGAGGGGGGCCACGAAGCTGATCCGAGGGCTGGAGCACCTCTGCTATGAGGACAGGCTGAGAGAGTTGGGCTTGTTCAGCCTGGAGAAGAGAAGGCTCTGGGGAGACCTTATAGCAGCCTTCCAGTACCTGAAGGGGCCTACAGGAAAGCTGGAGAGGGACTGGTTACAAGGGCATGGAGTGACAGGACAAGGGGTAATGGCCTTAAGCTGAAGGAAGGCAGATCTGGATTAGATATAAGGAAGAAATTCTTTACTGTGAGGGTGGTGAGGCACTGGAACAGGTTGCCCAGAGAAGCTGTGGAGGCCCCATCCCTGGCAGTGTTCAAGGCCAGGCTGGATGGGGCTTTGGGCAACCTGGTCTAGTGGAGGGTATCCCTGCCCATGGCAGGGGGGTTGGAACTAGATGGTCTTTGAGGTCCCTTCCAACCCAAACCATTCTGTGATTCTATGATTCCAAATACTAAGTACACAAACATCCACAATGAGCAGAGGTTTTTTAAATTAATATTTAGCTCTCTGATAGTAATAGAGTATGACAGAAAATCAATTATTTTCTGTTTTCAGTCCAGAAATGAGTGTTATACAGACAGCATAAAATGCACAGGCTTTCAAGTTTTAATTCAGAAGCCTTCCTAAAGGATCACAAGTTTCAAAGTGCAAATTGCATAAATAATATCAATAATTTATGATGAGAAGAAATTTGTATTGTCAGCATGGATTCCTTGCATGTAGATTTACAAAAATATTTATAATGAACTCCTTCCTACAGATTAAATGGAGAAGGTACTTTCACAATAGTCTCAGAAGCAACTCTTACTCTATAGAGAATCTAAAATCCTGTCTAGTTTGGATTATATGGATTATAAATCCAGCATACTTGATTTTTAATAGCATATTGTTCCAGCATATATCTGGTACATGAAAAAGAACGTAATAAACACTATTAAAGCTATTTTCGATATTCTTTGAGTGTTCTCCTTTTTTCCAATCTTTAGTAAGAAACTAAAGTACCACAAGGAGAATTTAGTAATTTGCATGTTTGAAAGGTGGCAGTTCACCAGCATTTTAGCATGATTTGTGAAGCATGTTTATTTTCCAACCTTCATTTGCCTTATAGCAGACACATCTTTTGCCTTATAGCAAGCATACCTTGTACCATTTACAGTGACAGATGTTATAGTGAACTGCAAAGCACATCTGAAAAGTCTTAGCAACTTATGGGTCTTTCTCCAGGCTTTTCTCTGACTTGTTTGAGTGAGATTGTGTGCACACCACGTAATTCCAGGAACTAGATTGCTGTATATAAAATTTTATCAAACTTCAAGGTTGCCTCCTAGAGGTGAAGGAATACATGGTGCTTAAGAAGAGTTGTGACTATTTTCCCCCTTTCTGTTTTGGTCTGCAAGTAAATTAGATGCAAGTAAATTGGACCATAATTTTCCCTCCAAGAAAAATAAAAGAATAGGCAAAAAAATTCCAAACTTGTCCACTCCAGTTCTTATAGTTGTTTATAACAGAGAAATTTACTTCTGTCTCTAAGCAACTGAAGTGTTAATATTTCAGGACAGGGAAACTACTGGCTTCTGTTGTTTAAAGTGCAAGAGAAAAAATTTGTTATGAATAATAGATAACTGTGTGTGTGTGTGTGTGCTAATTATGGGTTGTGACATCCCACTGTGCTCCCTGTTAGTCCATGATGATTTTCTGCAGAATTCCAGGTGGCAAATCTATTTTTTGGAAAGAAAAATGGGTTGGACTTGCCACCTTCCATCTGGGGCTCTTAGCATGCAGACAGGATGTAGGTGTTTTATCAAAAAGTAGATGACAAGTCCAAGTCCAGCTTAATTCTTAGCTCAAATAACTTTGAAAGATGAATTTTATGTTACCATTCACATACACGTTACAATCACAGCAAAAAAGGAGACCAGGCTGGAAAGGTAGTAAAGAACATGTATGTTACTGACACAGTAATTGAGATAATTACCTCTTCTCGAGGCTTCAAAACTATCAAAAAGGTTAATTCTCTGGATGTCATAGGTTAATGTGGTATTAGGCATCAGTGTTCTGTTTCTATTAATGTTGGTGACTGCAAACTTGAAAGCCAATTCTTCAATATTAACAGGTTCATTTTCCACAGTTTCGAATATCCCTCCTGTTGAAACAGAGATAAATGAGAAGTATTATTCACCTCTTCATCACTGTACGTAAAAAGAGAAAAATAACGAGCAATAATAATCTGAGTGTTCATAAAGGAAAACAGTTAAAATTGCTGTTAAAAGCACTACAGCAAAAGCATATTGGATCATTAGTTTTTATCTATAATGTCCTGTAGGTTAATTCAATATTATGAATGTTGCTTAGACAAACATCTGTGAAAGATGATGCATGTTTATTATTCAGGCTTTTCAAAGTAAAATTTTTAAATGCTGGTAAAACTTCCATCAAGTTCCTAACTAATGAAAGTAGTGATATTCATAGGTCTTGTTCCCACTGCCCCATTCTAATCGATGTTTGGAGATGAAACTTGGATGCGTTGGAGATGTTTTCTGAAGTGTTTCTGCAAATCTTGGCAGCACAAGATCCACATTCAGAAGAGACTTAGAAGCTTGAGTAGAAATGGACTGAAAGTTTCCACTCAAGGTCTGTGTCTTAGTAGGGCTTTGGGTTTTTATAAACTTCAGGCAACGTTGTCATTTCTGTTTGCTCAGGGATAGGTGATTATTTTTACTTCTTCAAAGATCATTGCTGAATGAACTGAACTTGTTGATACAGAACATCGCTGAGCCACACACTGTTCCCACAGGAGATTTCACCTCTGTGCCAAAGTGTTGAGTGATGTCTCCAGTGGTGCAGTTTCTACCAGTACATCATGGAACTGGCTTAAAAGTCTCCTTGCAAGGACAGTGCTGGATCTAGCACAATCGCTCTCAACTTCCTATCATTCCTCTAGACTCTTCTTCCAGCATCTCTTTTGAACTATTTGAACCAAGAGGTGTCCCAACCCGTTCAGTGCAATTCCAGCTGGGCAACTGCTCTTTGAGTGCTATTCAACTTGTGAGAACTTATTTTCTGTCCTTCAAACTGAAATTTTATATATTTCTTGCTCCTTTTTAAAAGAAATGAGGTGAGTCTGAGCTTTTCTTTAACCTGGAAGCATGTTTTCCAGAAGAGGACCTGTAAATAACCAATCTGAATTTTGGAAGCATAATGAACTTTGGCATAAATTCGGAGATGGGGAAGGTGCCTGTGTTTCCAGTCAACAGGCTGTCCCACTTATCCTGGGATGTCTACTCCCTCTAGCCTCTAGAGACTTTATTATGCCAACAAACACATTCAGACTGTCTAGGAGCATTGGGATTTGATGAATGCATAACAAACACAGCTAATTTGAAAAAAAATAGCTCCTTTAAACAGCAATCTCCAGCTTCAGTACTTGATTTTGCAAGTATAATTTACTCATTTAGTGCAAGTCACTAGAGAATACTTTGGATTTCTCAGTTACATATTTTTGCATTTCCCCATGTGAAATTCGAGCCCTAGATATCGCTTTATATTTTCTGAGTATCAGAATGTATTCAGCTAATGCCCTGCAATCTCTTGCAATTTTGATGTCACCAATGTAGGAATAGTGTAGTCATTAGCTGACAATCAGGAAATGGGAACACAGTGGAATTAAAACCTGTTTCGAATTTTAACTCAGCAATGAAAACACTGAAGGCTATCAAACTCAAGTTGGCAATGCAATCTCTAGCTACTCTGGAATGCAGAGCATTACATTCTCTCTCGAACCCATATGTAATACCTCAACGTGACTTAAGCAATTTGCCAACTTCAGCAATTATCTTGTTCACTATATGTATTTCTCATTACTCTATGTATGCATCAGAACCTTAAACACTTTCTGATTTTTTCTGTCCCTCAGAAAACAAGTGATTACAGGAGACTGTGACACACAGAAATAGCTGGGGAAAGTTTGAGTTCTGGTTTTTGGAACCAAATATAAAAACTCACATGGAATGCTAAGAGTCAGCAGGATTTTTCAGATTTGCAAACTATAGGATCACCAGAAGGGAAAAAATCTAAAGCCTGTTCTTTCAGATCCTATAATTCCTCATCCCGATGATGATACCAACAAGTTTACTACTTTTCTGGTTAAACAAAGTTTGCCTTCCCTCCTTTCACCTGAGGAAGACAAGTGTTTTCAGTTAGCTATAATACCAGATTAGTCTTGGGCCAGCAAGATACAACTGTTATGTTTTGCTTGGACCCCTACTAGAACTAGCAGAACATTTTGTCATAAGGCATAGCCTGAGATAAATATATATATATATAGTATATATAGT